TAATTTATTACTATTTAGACATTAACATATAGTTATTGCTCCTAATTCTATTCTTCTCCTTCTTCTTCTTCTTCTTCTTCTTCTTCTTCTTCTTCTTCTTCTTCTTCTTTGTGCATTGCCCCTTCAGAATGTTGTCGATCATGGCTCTCTACACTTTCCTTTCCGTTGTAGCTTTTACTTTTATTTGCTCTCTTAAACCCTTTTATACCAACTATTTACACAAACTCCTTTTACTCCGTCCTTCTCGTATATCTTGTGGGTATTAAATTTTCCAAACACTCTTTCTTCATTATGTGTCCTAAAATTTCAACAGTCTCTTTCTGATGTTATGTATAACTGTACTTTTTGATTCCATTTTCTCTAAAACTTAGTCCATTACTCACATGTTCATTACATGGTATTCTCAGCATCCTTCTGTAGAATCAAATTTCTCTTGCCTCAGCTCTCTTCTTCATCTGTGAGGAGATTGTCCAGTATTCACTCACTGATATTACATAATAGTTTAGTGCTCATTTTTTCGTTTATATACATTTAATTACTTTAATAACTCACTGGAGTTCATATTGTAAATAAAGCCGTACTTCGTGTCTATACCCATTTTTTTAGATTAGCGAAGCCAAATCAGTCGAATAATTATCCCATTATTGAAATTTTGTACGAAACTAATCTACATTAGGGTAAATATCTGATCATTTACTGTATAGTGCTGTATTTGGGGAAACCATTGTAGTGGTTCGACATTAGGTACTCAACTAGTATTGCTCTTTGCAAGACAAGATAAGTATAAAACGAGATTACTCTATTGGATGACATAAAAGACATTTATTTTCCACTGTAAAATGGTTAAAAATATTGCCTGGTCATAGAGTTTGAAGTTTCTTGTAGGCTATTAGAACTTGTCCCTTTCTGAATGTATAAGACTCTAATATTAAATATAAATAAAAGAAGGTTGAAATATTAAATGTCAGCAAACATACCATTTTATAAACTAAAATTTGCACACTGTTTTCTAAACAGAAAACTGTCTTTATTGAAATTGCAAATACAAAAACCGAGTAAAAATAAAATTCATTTACGACGGTCTGCTAAACTAACTTTTCTACTCTTGTTTTGTGAGAGGCATGTGTTTTTATCCTTGCGTAGTAATGGAAGTTACTCGGTGTATTGATAAGCGATATCCCCAGGTTTGGAAGGTGTCGGGTAATTTTCTTCTAAAAGAAGATAATAATTCGACCTTCATAAAGTTTTGGTAAAGGTCAATGCTCTGGTAGATCAGGCGAAAGATCTCACTAGTCGCTACTAAGCAAGACACACGTGAAAATATCGATGTCGACGACGATGGATTTTCTTGTTGAAAGCGTAAAAAGGTTGGTGGCGCTGGTGTCTTCCTACTTCCGCTTGTTGTTATTTCCAAATCAGTTTCTGCCTGGGGCGTTCGATATCTCACCGATATTTCTCTTGAGAAGATCCGAACCCGAGTCTACTGAGCAGCGACCGGCTTGTGGTTTGTGTCTTTCTGTGGAAAGCAACCATTTTATTTCGAGGAATGGTGTCATGATTTAATTTAGTGAGAGAAACTAACACAGCGCGTCGGTTTTTTTTTTTCATTATTTTTTTTTATCGTGGTAAATAAAGATGGCTGGCGTCTAAACAGGATTTTTTCCATTCATATTTTTATAGAATATAGATATATTTTAGTCTCGTATTCTTTTTCGTGTTTCCGGCAGTGAAAGATACATCGCCAAATTGACCCTGAGACGAGATAGAGAAACTTACATTCATATCTCTGTGATAAGAAAGACTTGTGTCTTGTCACGTTCACTCACTTTTTGCCTTTTCTTAATCACTGCAAAACTATGACCTGATTGGTTGGTGTAGAAGCAGGGATAGTTGGATTTAAGGTAATATAAATTACAGTAACGCGCGAGATTTAGAGTCTACCTTGTAACATTGTTCATAAAATGTGTTGATTTTGTCGGGTTTTATGTTGCAAATATACAAGCGTGAATGTGTTAAAAACAATGTGTTTACTTTTTTATCATCTAAATAAGCACTCTTTTCTATCGTAGTGGATACTTAGAACACATTCCTCTAATCTTTTCCTTTTTTCATCGCAGTCAAACAAGGAGAGACATGAACATTTATTACAAGCTTGCGTCAAAGGAATTTTACGTTCACCATCCACAATTTCTTAGAGCTGATCATCGCTGATGCAGCTTATACTGAATATTTGCATCATCAGATCGAAATGTCTGAAAGCATCATTATCTTGTTCGTTCGTTAGCATTTCTTTCTTTAAATGCGAAACTGATATTTTGTCTGTTTCACTTGCAATGTCTTCGAAGTAAAATTCATACAAAACTTATCGCACAGTATTTGCTACATAGGAAACGGGGTTTTAACAGAAGAATAAAATAAACGGGTAAGCTGAAGAGTGGCGTACGAGAATAAAACAGTTTTACATGAGCAAATCATACAATTTACGCCTATTTGAATTCGTGTTGATAAAATCTAAGAATGAACTATTGCGAAACTAACATTTCGTATGCCAGAACGTAATAATGTGATACCGTGCTGCAAAGGAAATATGACATGTGTGCAAATTTCTCAACCCACATTTTTTGAAAGCTAGACACGGAATACGTCGTTGACAATCGTTGAAAATCTTTGCACATACCTTTCTATGTTAAACTGATCTTATTTCATGATTATGTCAATCTATGTTCTTTTTTTGTTGAGCCTATTGCTTTAGGAATTTTTATAACTCAATTTTTTTAAAACTCTTTTCTTCTTTCTTTTTCCTTGACGAACATTCCCCATCCATTCGTCCATTATGACTGTTATCCGTTAATTATTAGCCAAACTAATCATACGAGCACCTGGCAGTAACACTTAGCAGTCCCCAACCACTTCGCCAACCATCAGCATCTTCTTTGTTGCCATCGGCGTTAGTATGACATCAAATGGTTACGAGGGTTGTTTTCTGTTGGGGCGCACCCACCTTCTGACTGATAATGGACTGATCCCTCTACGATATAAGTCAGTGCTAGAGAGAGTAGTGGTGTTGTGCGAGGATCAGGTTCAGCGACAGCAGTCGAGATCAGGTTACCATTACATACAGTTGGACTGTAGACTTTTGCTATTGTTACTTACTAACCGGCGTTCCTTATTACTAATCACTCTGTTGTTAATTACCTCTTACAAATATACCAGTATTTATCCCTACAACTGTGTTTGTCTTTATTCGAATACACACACGCGGGGAACACTCCCAACAACTCAACATTTTCTATGAACTAGAGAAAGAAGAGGAATGGTACTAAAGAAGCGTGGTACGGACCAGAAGAATCAGATAATGACGCTTCCAGTTGAATTGCTAACCTACCAAAGGTAAAAGTATCTGGTAATGATAACTGTTACTATGACTTTACGGCACAGTGTTATCTATATATTTGTCATTTGGGATGTTACAAGATCCTTTAATTTCCTTTATTCATATAAACGAAGTAAAGATTGTACAAATCTTAAGCTATAATAAATCAAGTGTCGCCATAAGATTTTGTTTGTAATGTTTAATAGCACGTGTGTTTAGAAGATATCTACAAATATCTGCTTTCTACTGACAATTTATTTATATTTTATATATATTTAAAGACTTACATATAAAAGTACATATAAAAGCCTAGTTAAGTGAATATTTAACAAAATATTCTACCTTTTTTTTTTTTTTTGATAATATGGGTAAATATAGAGCCACAAAAGTTAAGAAGAACAGGGAGAAATGATTATTTTGTGTCAATGTTTCAACTAGAAAACAGCTTTTCTGTCTGACAAATTAGAATTACTTTGATCAGATTTTCAGCGCTTGTCTCATGGCTGAGTTGCATTTTCTCACTGTTGATTAAGATTAGAGTTCGAGTTCATTACTTCGAATGCAGATTTTAAAGGCAAGTAAACCCTCCCCAGTTTAAAAATTGTCCAACACTATCTTCCTGCATTCCTTTTCTCTTTAATTCAAACTTTATTCAATTTTAAACCGAGATTTCCACAATATTACCAAAATCTTGGTTAAATGAGTGATACATTTGCGTATTTTCTACCAGTAAGCATCAACATTTCTAAAACCTGGTCTTTTATCAGAGCTTGAAAAACGATCATTAGCGTTAACAAGATATACATAACTATCTCAGCGATTGGAATGTTTGGGTTTTTGGCGAGTGACAACACAATGATAAGAAAATATATTAACAACCAACCAATTTCGGTAAACATTGAAAGTTAGTTTCTTCCTCATTTAGTCTTCATAGTCTTTTAGCAAAGAAGTTATGTAAACTGTACATGGAAAATAAACAGTTTCTTTTATTATTTATTTCGGTACCTACTTAAAGGTCTACGAAAATGTTTGAATTAAAACTTTCAAATTTTTAAATTATTTTATTTATTTCTAATTCCTTTTAATCACTTTACACATTTTACAATGTCAGACATAAAGGTAAAAAATATATATTCTGCCTATTTAGATAAGATTATTTGATAAAGGTCAACGGCTGCGCTCTTCTGAAACAAAAGGGACGAGCGAACAGAAGGAGATGTAAAGTTTGGAGAGATAAGGAGAGAGGAATAGAAAGTAATGAGGTGAAAGTGAGAAAATAGAGACAGAGAGATAAACATCTAGAAATGAAAGGTTCAGAATCGACATGAAACACGGAAGGAAAAGAAACTGTGATATAAGAACAGAATGTATGTGATACAAAAATGCATGAAAACAGACACAAATATCTATGTAAACAAGCACACATATACCACCCCTTATATATATATATATATATATATATATATATATATATATATATATTAGGAAATCAACCAATTCCGCTACCTTGGTTTCAAACTATCTTCAGGCGATTTCGGTAAATTAATTTCCTAGCTATATATATATATATATATATATATATATATATATATATTAAATTATTTAAATTAGGAACCGATTCCGCTACCTATATATATATAGAGAGAGAGAGAGACAGACAGACAGACAGAGAGAAGACAGATATGAAGAAGAGACTGATGAAAAGCACAGCCACAAACACGAGTAGATTTCCATTTCCATGACTAAAAACGGAAGAAAAGAGATATTGATGAGAATGAGGGGCGTGGAAAGTAAATTCATTTCGTTATAAACATTCATAAATATAGCACACATTGATTTCTTTGTTAAGTTAAATGTGGGAGAAAAATCAAGAAAAAAGAAGTCTAGAAGTGAGACAAAAAGCTTCAGTAGGAAAAAAAAGAGGTGGGAAGAAATTGGCGGAAACGGAGGAGAGATAAAATAGAGGCGGGGAAAGGAAGAAGCAGTTGCTAGGCAACAAGAACACAACGATATTGGCAACAGCAACGGCTGTCAAGGAAGGAAATCTGCCACCGAGTTGTCGCTGCATGCCGTCTTGGAAATGCTTCGCGCATGCCCACCAAACTCAGCAGCAGTGACACATAAGCAGCGACACACACGCACATACACACACAAAAACACACACAAAAACACACACATACGTTCTTAAGCATGGATTTACATTCTCTTGGGAGCCTGCTATAGTCGATCACTAAATTAGACCAGTGTCATGAGTTCGATTCCACTCTCTCTCTTCTTGTAGCCTTGTGCCAGGCAAAACCTTAGCAATGCTTAGGCACTTTCTACCAATGACTAGTTTAATCCTCATATATAATCAAGTTTTGTGACATTCAGCTTATTAAATAACAATAAATAAATAAAAGAAAAAAAGACTCCCACGCAGTGGTAGAAATAGCTACTGATATAAACGCTGACATGCACACAGACACTCAGAGGTTCTATCAATGGCCGGCAGTCAAGCAGCTATACAGTCAATCGCAGGTATTATCAATGTCCGGTAGGCCAGCAACTATACAGACACCCGAAGGTACTATGAATGGATGGCAGGCAAGCAACTATGCAGGCACTCGCAAGTATTATCAATGGTCGGCAGACAAGCAACTATACAGACACTTGCATGCACAATAAACACTTTTACAAGTGAATAAACATGTACATATACTGATATATACATATATATGTGTGCGTTGACACACACAAACGCACACTTGACAACTTATGCCCACGGTTACGTGTGGACACATATGCAAAATCATATCCAGTCTCACATAATAAGGATTAATCGACACAAATGTACGGAAACGAACGTATTGTCAGAACACACGTGAAACGAAGTATGCAGAGAGTCTAAACACAAGTATGCAAATACCTTTGCACACACACACACACACACACACACACACACACACACACACACACACACACACACACACACACACAAGAAACATGTACATATTTATACATAATAAAAACGAAGAAATGAATACACACACGCACGATGCATTCCCAAACCACACCTATACACTGAGGGCACTAAGTGTCAATAGTCATTTAGGGCAAAAGTAGAAGAATTTTAATGTGGAGCCTCAAGGAGTGGCGAAAAATTGTCCAGTTCAGTGCCACAAAATTAACAGGATGACATACGACTCTATTTTAATCCGCTTGAGAAATCTTCAGGGATCAGACACATTCTTTCTTGTATTGCTAAGACAAGAACAAGACTGCTACTGAATAGTAAAGACATGCAACCAGGAAGTTAAACCACTTTTTACACTGACCAAATTGAGTAGAAATAATGCAGTAGGACTAGACGGAATTGTATTAGAGATGTTGGCAGCCTCAGATGATTTGGGCATTGAAAAGATTAATGTCATAATAGATACAATATACAATAGTGGCGATATACTGGAAGACCTAATTAGATCCATTTTCATAGCACTGATTAAGAAGCTAAGTGCAAACGAATGTGAACTTTTATCGGGCAATCAGCCTAATGAGCAAACATAACAAAACTTATCATCCGAATTTCGATCAATAGAGCGCGCAGCAAAATTAAACCGGGAATACGACAAGAACTGCAGTTTCATAAAAACACCGGACCAAGGAATGCGATATTTATGCACAGAATAATATCAGAAAGAGCAATAAAAATGCAGAAGTATCTACACCTATGTTTTAGTGTTTATGCAAAGACGTTTGATAAAGTACGTCACAAAGAACTGTTTGAATTGCTACGTAATCTTGGCATATATGGGAAGGATATTAGAATAATTCAGAACTTTATTTACATTATTCGGACTATTGTCCTCATATTTGTTGCCATATTTATCACAACTTTTCGGCCGTTGTGCGCTCCGGCCTTCTTCAGATAGTTGGAATGTCGAACTGAACTCTATATTTCGCTTGCTGGGTTTGACTGTTATAGTTCCACGTGGCATATCTAACTGATAACTGACATCCATTAGACATGGCACATGGAACAAGAACAATTTAGAAAAGAGTTTCACAGAGATTCACCAAGTATGACACACTGTTGCCCGCATCATAAATTGGTCTGAAAACGATGAAACAGTTCACGACGTTCATAAACAACATTCAGGAAGAGCAACGGTCATCTACTATTGAATGCTGAAAAATATATATAAACATGCATTTAATTTCATTTAATATTTAATTGTAATCGTTCATTTTCTTTCTGAGTCAGTAAATATTAATAATTAATATTTTTAATGATTAATCTTGTTTGCAAAGTCAATAAACTCTGTATTTATTGCCCTTTAAAGACTGAGTGCATTTTGGACATCCTACATATTCCTATACACACACACACACACACACACACACACACACACATATATATATATATATATATATATATATATATATATATATATATATATATATAAATTATAAAAGAGTGGCCACTAAGGTCAACATCGAGTTTGAATGCAATCTTCAGGCCATGACAAGAAGATTGCGTTAATGCATGAAACAGACTGTCGCTCCTAAATTTCGATCTTGGTGACCCCACTCTAATACGTTCTATCTCAGATGGCACTTTTATCCATAAATGTAGCCTACCTTAAAACTATATTTTTACATATCTATCTATCTATCTATCTATCTATCTATCTATCTATCTATCTATCTATCTATCTATATTTTTCATAAACTATAAACTATATATATATATATATATATATATATATATATATATATATATATATATATATATATATATATATATATATATAGATCGGACACACAACCATAAATTTCTCATGTAGGCTCACATACCACCTCAACGAAACCAGCGCCATAAAAATTCATCAAGTAACAACACAATGCACCATTAATACCATATTCAATTCATCTGACACAAGAAAAATCTTAATTAACCACACCAAAATCCTCTATAAAAACAACTGCAAAAAACGAATACAAATTCTGGAAGCGATCCTCATCAAAAACCAATCACCCAACATAAATAAAATGACCTTTAATACTGACTCAAACATATTAAACATATTTAATAACTAATCCTCCAATAAAAAACATCAATCCCCTTCTTACCAATAATCAACTAAACCAATAATAACGTCTAATATTATCTATAAAACTAAAACAACCAACAACATATCTAAAACAAAAACAAACGCCATGATGACGGTCGAGGTCAAAAGCGCTCGGCAGAAAGCTATCGACTGGGATCCTATAGGTACTTCCATGAGATCGCTAAAAAAAGAGCATAGCATGATGAAAAAGACGCCAAACTTGACGAATACAAAATTTTATCCTCTCAATGGTTATTTTATTATTAAGAGGAAAGATCAAAGTTTATTTTAATTATTTTTAAAAATTTTTCCTTCTTTTTAGAACAATTAAATTTTGATTAAAAAAAACTTATTTCTCTTTGTATCACCGGAACTAGTAAAATAGCTTATAGAATTTTGAGCACGTTTTTTTTTTTTTTTTTTTTTTTTTTGTTTATGACACACATTAATTTGGAAAATCTTGCAAAAATAAAAATAATAGTCGGATGTTAATGAAACTTTTAGAAACTATTCTCTGATGATGGAAATTATTATGTTTTTTTTTATTAAAGTCATGGCAGGATTTTTTTTTTAAATTTATTACCCCCACATAACTAATTTTATGAAAACGCTTGAAATTCGATCGCGTCAGGTTAAATGATTACAATAGTTAAAAGCAAAAGACTTTGAGGAATGCAAATCATTTTTTTTTGTTTTTAATTGCCCTCCCCCCTACCTGAAAATCAGCTCTGAATTGTAACATACAAAACTCAATAAAACAAATATATTATTTAATTTTAAATGCTTTTAGTTGTTTTTATGAATATGGACAATATTTTCTGAAAGCAAAAAAAAATTTCGATGAATAATGAATTTTTAATACAATTATTTGTTATTTTTTAATTATAATTGATTTTTACATTCAAGTTGTTAAAATTTTATAAAATTAGTTAAAAGCCGTCTCAGGTTTCCTAAGTGTCTTTATGAGATATATCTTGTTTTAGCGCGTTGTAAATTGTATCATTTTGACTAATCAGAAGATAAGCAGTAATTAAGAAATGTAATTTTGTGCTTATAATCAGGCTGTAATTATAAAGTACTTAAGACAAACCAGAATACAATTAAGTTGCGTTATTTGAGTTAAGCATTGTTCTCCGCTGTTAAGGCCTTTACTTTTGCGAAACACATATGGAGAAGTTAATTTGAATTTTCAATTTCAACTGAGAAGGGTACCTACAAGTATCAGTATCATCTTATGAAATTTATATGATCTTATTTTTATATTAATCTCAGTTATGACATTTTTCCATAAATGAAATATCAAAATTAATAATAAAATGAATGGAAATACAAATAATACAGTAAAATGTAATAAATGTACATAAAATTATAGTAAATTATTTTATGTACACTTCTGATAAAATTTCATAAGAAAGGTATCTAATTAATTTATAGGTACCTTTCTATGAAATTTAATCTCACTCTCAACAGTCTTATTTTAATTTCTTTATAATATATTTTCCATAAAGCATCGTAAACGTAAAGGTGAAAGCTAAGTAAAAAAAAAAAAATAGAGCGCTGAAAGTTTTCCTTAAAAATAACGAGGTAAATAATTTGTTCACTTAAATGTAAATTATTTCACTTTTCTCCTTCCGTAGAACAAATTATCCTCACGGAATGTGTCAATATGTCATTCATTACCTGTCAACTGATGCGAAAGTTCATGACCTGCTTTGTTTTATTTTCAAATTACATCTTTTTAAGCTTGGTTCAAAATATTTAAATAAACATTATAATTTCTGATTTTCTTAAAATAAGTTTTGTAAAAATGATAATTGATATTTAAAAGAATTTCAAAATGAGATTTTCATTTTTTTATAAAAATGGTTGAAATCTGTCAATTTTGCTGACTCAAAAAACGCCCAAAAAACAAGTTTTTCAACGAATGGATTCAACACCATCATTTGATAAGACACCAGAAGTGTTGAAACAAAATGCCTATTTTTGTAGTGATTTTATAACATACTTATGTTATAATTTTCGAATAAATAATTATATTTTCTCTACTCTGTATTGAGCACTCTTTTAAGAATAGTATTTGTTGGTTATTGAATTTATTCCATATACACCAATCCTATACTTGTTGGATATATATATATATATATATATATATATATATATATATATATATATATATATATATATATGTGTGTGTGTATATATAAAACATATATGTTTTCATGGTAAAATTGTGTGTGTGTGTGTGTGTGTGTGTGTGTTTAAAACATTACACATAGATAGATAGATAACGTTAGATAGATAGATAGATAGATAGATAGATAGATAGATAGATAGATGATAGATTTTTATGCATGTATTGGGCTTATGGAAAAAAATCCAGTAATCGTTCTAGAAAACCAATTCCTATTTCTGTTACATTAGTATTTATCTTGAGTATGTAGGTAATCAAATCTCTCGACATCTTCTTTTCTTTATATATTTGTGTGATGCTATAACTGTTCTTGGGACTGACTGTAGCATAGTTTCTCATTATTCTTTCCCTGACTGGTTGCCAACCAAGGTTGGAGAACCCAATCTTTTTGCTATTTTATCTGTAGCGATGGAGCCATTCCTTTATTTAAAGCATTAATGTGAAATGAACGCTGTCTCAACCGGAATTTGAACTCCGCTCACCGTTTTCATTCTCCAGCTTGTCACAAATTCTCTCTTACATTTCTTGTCTTTATTTCGTTCTTTTTCTGCTCTTTTTTAAATTTTTTCTTCCTTTCACCTTCAGAATATTTTTAATGGCTGTACTGTTGTGTTTGCCTTGTCATTACAATCGATAATTAATTAAACATAAATTAACAGGAATTAGGGAGTTGACTAAAATGTGTGTAAATCCTGTGAAGAGGAAGGGATGATAACTGCTCTTTAGTCAACAAAACGATTTTCGAAGAAGAAATTCAACTGTAGAAAGAAAATGAAAAGCGATATTTAAAGAAGTTAAAATACAAATCCCACTATAAAAACAGTCAATAGGAAAATAAGAGAAAGCTTATTGATTTTCTATATACACCAAAGAAGATAAACCAACAGATTATAAAAAAGACGACAGCGATAAATTGCTTATATAATAGATATGTGCACTGTTATATTGAGAGACGGAGACAGACAGATATTAAAAGGTTAATCAAGAGGGCGAACGCCTTAGATATTTCAAAGGCCTTTGACAAGGGTTGTTACACAAACTTTACTCTTATGGAATCTACGGAAGAGTCTTCGCTATTATCAAGTCCTTCCTATCCTATTGTGAAGTCCTTCTTATGTATGGGCATTACCCAGATTTCTGAAGCCTATAAAGGTCAATGCAGGCGTACTACAATGTTATCTTCTCGTGTAGACCTTCTTTCTGCTTTATATTAAGATAGATAGATAGATAGATAGATAGATAGATAGATAGATAGATAGATAGATGTGCATTTATGCATGTATTGGGCTCATGGAAAAAAAATCCAGTAATCGTTCTAGAAAACCAATTCCTATTTCTGTTACATTAGTATTTATCTTGAGTATGTAGGTGATCAAATCTCTCGACAGTTTCTTTTCTTTATATATTTGTGATTAGAGTCTGGCAGTTGATCTCTCTCTTCTAACCTCGTCCTAACAGATTAACGGTAGAAACACGGGCTTGTAGCATTCAGTGCATCCAAAGTCAAGCTAGCATTGTTGCGTAGTCACCAAGCAGATCATGATTTCTCGCCTATCATGAGAAATGGTTGTTCCCACAATCATGCTCCTTGGGACTCCAGTTTACCCTGGACCTCAAGTGGAACTCATATGGACGATTCATCGCTGAAAAGGCTTGAAAATGGTACCTTCCCAGTAAGTATCTGTTCTGTATATCTAAGTGCCCAATCTAAAGAAATGTTTGAGCTGGACCTACCCAGTCTTCATTTTCCAGTCTTGATAGAGTTCAAAAGCATCTCCACCGCCTTATAGGTGATTAATTATTTTGTAATATACAATCCCATTTCCAGAGACCAAATGTAACAAGACTCTGGCACAGACTATCGCTATATCCATAAATGTTCTGAGGAGTTGGAATCTTTCATTCAACCAGTTTAGACCTTTAGAGCTCATACTCGCCATGCCAAATACTTCGGCGAATCATCGATATTCCCTTCGTATTCCATTAATAAGGAGGAAGTCCTGTTCGAATAGCTTCTTCTCAAAATAACTTACAAACATAACCGCTTCAAATCTAGGCTTAACCGCTATCTTTTCTAGATATTCTCATAAAATGTACTTCTTACTTCCTCTTCTTACACTTATACAAAAAACTCATTCAGTAACCCACTACCTTGAGTGGCTCTTAAGGATTGTATTAGGCGAAAATTACTAAAAAGAAAGAAATGTATATCGATCGTTAGAGATGAAAAAACGTGACATCCATATGCTACGTATATAGAATTAATGATCCTTGAAATAACTCTGTTGTCTTTATTCCGTGGTGATGCATCCGTAATTGCTATTTACAAAGATTTGCTGCGAACAGCTAAAAGCCATCCGCCTGTGACCTCTTTCAAATTGAACTCACTACAGTTATAATGTGTTGCGAGGTTAACTTGATAAAACTTTTCTCCAAGGTGAAACTCTCTTGTCAGCAGAAAAAAAATGAAGCAGACAAAGGGAAGAAATATTTTGTGATAAAAGTCGTAAACTAAATTTATAAATTAGGAAATGAAAGAAAGAGAAAACGAAAAAATAAACAGAAAAAGAAAGAGGAAAAAAGAGAAAGAATAACATAGTGTGAGAAATAAAAGATAGAGAAAAAGAAAGAATAAAGTAAAAGAAAGACAGGAAAGGAGAAAAAGAGAATAAAAGAAAGAGATATAAAGAGAAAGGAATTGGAAAAAGTAAACAGAGAAATAGAGAAAGCGAGAGAGAAAGAAAGGTAGAACGAGAAAGAATGATAAGAAGAATGAAAGTACAGGATAAAAGAAAGAGAAAAATAAAGAAATTAATAGAGAAAGAAAGAGGGGAAGAAATGAAAAAAAGAAAGGGTAGGCTTAAATAAGTATTAGGATAAAAAATATGAATGGAAAAATAAATACATGAAAATATATATAATAAAAAATCTAATCAGTTAACCTCGATCTGAAATTCATTCGGATTCATTAGTTTCAATTTAGATTTCTCCTTTGTTGGCGCCAACACAAATGGAAGATTGTGCTGCGTGAGTTCTTCAAGAAGTGAGAGAAAACTTTTACATCGCAGATTGGTATTCGAAATCCATTTATCATGTATTTAACACAGACACTTAACGTTAGTAAGAAATAAGCAATTATCACAACCACGAATGAGTCCATTTGAAGATTGTATTGCGCCAGTTTTCTAAGTATAAATCATATTTATTTGGAAATCAGCGTTAGAAATGTTGATGACCAGGAAGAAGAAAAAGAAATAAGAATCATAGTAAAATTATCCTTTGTAAATAAAAATCAAAATTTATTGAATATTTATATTTATTTTTTAAAGAATCATTGGCAGATAAAATATAAACGTAAAGTGTTTAGAAATGAGTGAAAGAACTCAAAGTTCCTCTGATAGATAATGTGTGATAAATCATTATTCGATCAAGTGAAGTTCAATACGCGACTATATTGATAAGGGCCAAACATTTAATTCATCCAGTGTTTCCGCTTTATTTCCCTTTCTACTTTTTTGTGGATTATTCGACACGCGATCAATATAAAAAAGAAACAATTGATAATAAGCAAATATTGTCAAATAGTAAAGTTTGCCTATTAATGATCACTATCAAAATCACAAAGATTCTACAAAGATAAAGGTCTTCGTAATGTGTGAGCTGTATTGGTGAGTACAATTTTTTGTATTTCATAAAGCCAGGGGCGACTAGGAATCCCTTCAATGAGTCTATTGGAACCTTTTCTAATCAATCCGAGTGCTCCAACTACAACTGGAATTATTGATGTCCTCATGTGCCACATTTTTTGAGATTTCTACTTCAAGATTCTTGCATTTTGATAGTTTTTTTTGTTGTTTTTAGTTGTTTTTTTTGAAGATCTTCAAAGATACACTGCAGTCTGCAGGGACTGCCATGGCAATAAGGAGGCACATTTTCTCTTTGCGGTCTCTAATAACGATGTCTGGGCGATTAGCTTTGATTGTTCTGTCTGTGTGTATTGTCAAGTCCTATAAAATTGTTACAGGTGTTTGGGTGGAGTTCATACCAATTTCTTCCAGTTTCCTTTCCATAAAACTTGCAGATTTTGCAGTGCAGATATTGGCCCTCTCTGTCATGCCGTGTTTTATATTCAATGGTAGTCAATTGTATATGTGTTTGGTATTTTCTTGTTATCAGTCTCATCTATTATCATTATTATTATTATTATTATTATTATTATTATTATTATTATTATTATTACTTTTATTTCCTTTGATTTCTGGCGTTTACACATTGCTTTCCGGGTCCCGCCCAGGACCTAAGGTTAGAAATGGCATCATGACACTTTCCACTGACAAAAAAAAATGACATAGATAAGGCCCTTCGTGTGGACTGTACTTGTCAGAACAATTTTTTGTATCTCTTTGAAGCATGGACTTCCAGGAATCCCTTCAATTAGTCTACTGCAATCTTTTCCAACCAGTCCTAGGGCTCCAACTACAACAGGGATTGTTGATGTTCCCATATGCCACATTTTCGAGATTTCTATTTCAAGGTCCTTGTATTTTGACAGCTTTTTGAATATCTTCAAAGATACATTGCAGTCAGCAGCGACTGCCATATCAATAAAAAGGCACTTTTTTTGTTTGTGGTCTTTAATAACAATATCTGGGCGGTTGGCTTTGATTGTTCTGTCAGTGTGTATTGTGTAGTCCCATAGAATTGTAACAGGTCCTATCTCCGTAACCGGGTCTGGGTGGTGTTCATACCCTTTTCTTTCAGTTTCCTTCCCGTAGAATTTGCAGATTTTCCAGTGCAGATATTGGCACACTCTGTCATGCTGGGTTTTATACTCAGTGGGTGACAATATCGTGCAACTTGATACAAGATGATCAATTGTTTCAGGATATTTATCACAGAATCTGCATTTTGGGCTAACACAATATTTTAGTTTCTGTGCTTGATAATTCCTAGTTAACAAGCATTGGTCCTGTGCAGTTTCAGCTTTCAACCCTGCACTATGTAGCCACTGATGGGTACAGGTTTTGTCTACGTCAGCTTGTTTGGTACGGACAGAGTATTGGCCATGAAGCGGTTTATCTTGTCATCGCTTCTGTATCTGGTCGGTTGCATTCGTCTTTGCTTTCCTTTTATTATTATTATTATTATTATTATTATTATTATTGTTATTATTATTATTATTATACCAGGATAAACTAAGTAATAGATGAAGGCAAATTGCTAACGACAACCTGTTGATTGTGGCAATCATATTTTAAGCTGAAAGTTAACTGACAAAGCTTATTGGTACAGTGAAATAATAGTAGGAATCCATGAAATGGTGAGAAAAAACTTATATGGTCTATGATAACATTTTATCTGCAGGAACCGTCATGTCAAGAAAAAAGCAAATAATAATAATTATTATTATTATTGTTATTATTATAAGGCAAAGTGTCAAACATCAAAATTTATTTCGGACCACGTAGATCACATATTCTGACCTGTAGATATTCTTTTATAAACACATATATCAAAGTCGATATATGTGTCTTCTTGATACTCCACGTCATGCAACTCTTATTAGAATATATTGTTATAATAATTGTAGTAATATAATTGTTCTATTTTTCATAAGTTCTTGTTAATCTCTAATTTGTGAATTACACTTTATCATCGAAGGGTTATATATATAATAGAAACAATATATATATAGAATCCGCAGCTATCTATCGGTTTCAGGCATCTCCTGAGAGAATTGGAAATGATACTCTCTAGATAATCTTATCTTCATAATAATGTTAAAATATGCTTAATTTTATAAGACTTGTAACGCATATATGATTTTGCAACCAGTATAAGAAAAGGAAAAGTCTAAATACCAAACCATGGAGATGAAAATATCATTCTCAAGAATTGATGGTAATTCTCAGATAATAAAGAAATCTGTAGAGAGCCATGATCGCATACGTCTTGAAAGAACATGGCATTAAAAGATATATACAATTTTTAATTATGTCACCTGTTGCAGAAGGACAAATTCATAGAGTACTGAAATAGTGTTTATACGTTAATGTTGTCAGTCTTCTTAATGCAATTGTATAGGAAGTATGATAATGGTGATACTTCCGCCGAGGAAGGTAATTTTAACGTGGAGATGATTTATTTCCTATGGATAACTTAATTCCTTATTCTGCTTGGGTTCACAGTTTTATAGGCGACATTCCTATAAGGACAAATAATGCTTTAAATGCAGCTGCCAAAGAACCGGAAGTACCAGCTTCAAACAGGAAGTCTTGAAGTCATTTCTGGGAATGTGTGGGTGGGGGGACGCTGATCTGCTTTTATGAGTTCCTTTTTGTTTTGAGATCAATACAATATGGAATTGAAATGTAGCACAATGGTTAGCCTCACGAAAATAACTGCAACTATTTATAGTTATTTTTGCACTACCTGGAAAGACAAGAATCTATTTTACCTATGAATTGATTTTTTGCTCGTTAATTTGATTGAGTGTCCTGTCACAAAACGCGTCCACACATTTTCCGCAGATCCGAGATGGGAAGCACTTGGACAATCTTTTCCCTGATAATTATTTTAAGCTGTTACACTTGCAGGTTATTTTGATAAAATTCTATCATTCTGAATAAACACATTTTTTATGATAATGCTTAAATGAAAGTAAAATATGTTGAATGAAAAACATTTTCTATTTGTTCCTTATCCAATCACTTATGAGTTTCCATATTTTACAGAAACAATGTATTGATCTTACCGAGTTCACAATTGATTAAGGTTAATTGTTTTGTTGATCTCTTTCTTTTAAAGTCTTATGTCACTTCAGGAATGTAATCAATTATGGCTCTTCGCAACATCCATTTCTCTTTCATATCTGCAAGAGTGGGTATTGCGAGGTCTCAGATTAAGCCACTTCCAAAAATCTGACCCACACAACAGAATGTTTTGATTTCCTTCTTGGTTGAGTCGAGAACTTTTCGGGATCCTCTCGTAAACTGTGCCTTGCCATGACTGTTATTGGGGAAGATAGAGGTTTTATATCCTCTTATCCATATTTCTGAATTCAAAGTTGTCCTTCTCCTCGGTTGAGAGCTCAGTATGCATCGAATCTTAGACCATAACTTGTAAAGGAGATGGTTTTATTCCCTTCTCAAGGATATTAGTGCGAAGTAAACGCATACTCTCTCAGCCAAAGATTTGAACTTGACTCACCAAATGTATTTTCAGTGCTGTTAACCATTAAAATATATACTCACTCAACTTCATTCTGGTAAAAAATGCAAAATAAAAGGTTAAGGTTGTATTTTTCATCTTTTCAAGCATGGAAAACCCGTTTCAAAATTGGTATTCTAAATTTATTTTTATTATTTGACCACAAGCATCGATAGAAAATAAGTGTATTCTTTATCCAACAAGTAGATTCTTGCTGACTCAAGACCAAATTAACCATGTATCTATCGAGCTTACTAGAATAGGGTCTAATCTGCAGGGAAAAGTTTTTAAGTACCTATGCAATAGTCTATTATAAAACGAGACAATTTATAAAGTGTAAATTCATAAATCATATCTAGTTAAAATCAAACTCACTAATATACCTGGATCGGCTGAAAAGTTCATACGCTGACCAAGATACTCCCATGTAATGTGACCAAATGAGATTTATTATTCAACTTGCAGTCCACGCACTTCTATTGGTATTGCAATGCTTGGATCCCATTGCTGAAGAAGCTTTCATCTTGTCGGCCGAAAAAGTCATCAACAGCAGATATGAAGTCATCATCACCGCGATACTGGTTCCCAGACAAGTATTTTTTTCATGTTGGGGAACAGATAATAGTCAGATGGAGGTCAAATCAGGAGAATAAGGAGTGTGATCAACTAGTCACGTACAAAAATCATTGAAACTAAGGTCTTGTTTACTGGAGCATTGTCCTGATGAAACATGACGCCTTTCGTCAGTTGATAGACTTTTGTAACAGTCTCAAAACGTTGGCATAGTACCCGCCATTGATGATGTAGCCCTTTTGAAGATAATAAACACAATGCCTTTTGCATCCAACAAAACTGAGATCATCAACTTCCCTGCAGATTAAACAATATTGGCTTTTTTTGGAGCAGGTGAGAAAGGGTGTGTCTACTGTATGGATTGTCTCTGACTCGAAGTGATGAATCCAACGCTCATCCTGTGTTAGGAAACGTTCAACGAAACCAACTGTATCTACGTCAAATGATATCAGATTTTCCCGTGATGTGATCAGCCTGATGCGC